AGTAGGGCATTTCTAAGTTGCTAATATGCTAATGTGCACAGATCTCCCAGAGGTGGCTTTTAGTACTATTTGACTATGCTTCCCCCATTTTTAAAACCCTACGCCGTGAACTTCTTCTATAAACTAGAACATGGCATCCAACTTGCTTGTGACTTTATCCGCTGTACCCTGACAGGTGCCTGACAGAAGCTAATCAAAACTTGTTGAATAAAAGGATAATCTTTCAATGTGTCTTTTCAATCTGTTCTTAAAACATGACATTTCCACTAAGTTTTAGAAATGGGATCAGTCTGTCAAACCAACAGCAATTATTTTTTTTCCCAACAGCAGTTATTAAAACAATTTGCCTATTTGTTCAACGTCTTGATCCAATGGTTCTCTACTGTTAATATGCATTAGGAGTCACTTGGAGAATTAGAAAAACACACATTCCTGAGCTTAGCCTCTCTGACCTTCTGTTGTGGGTAAAGAAATTCAAATTTTCAACACCTCAGGCAAAGTTAATGCAGCTGATCACACTCTGAAAACCACTGTCCTGATTTAAAAAAAAAAAAAAGGAGCTCTAAGGCAAAACATTTTTTTTTAATTTTTTTTTCAACGTTTATTTATTTTTGGGACAGAGAGAGACAGAGCATGAACGGGGGAGGGGCAGAGAGAGAGGGAGACACAGAATCGGAAACAGGCTCCAGGCTCTGAGCCATCAGCCCAGAGCCCGACGCGGGGCTCGAACTCACGGACCGCGAGATCGGGACCTGGCTGAAGTCGGACGCTTAACCGACTGCGCCACCCAGGCGCCCCAAGGCAAAACATTTTTGAGCAGAAAGACCTTTTGGATCTCCCAGCATGGAGGCAGAAAGGTACAAGTTTGTTCTACCAACCCAGAAGACAAAATTAAGAAATACAGGTGAAAGTCATAAAAAGGTAGGTGGTAGTTCAACATCAAGATGCGAATGCTAACAACAGCATGGGCTTCCTGGACCTAATGACCTTTCCATGGCTGTGTTAGTGGAAGAGAGGCTAGATATGGTAGGAGGGATATACATGGCAAATGGTGATTGGGTTAATCTGCACCCCCAAGATTCTGGGACAAAGGCTGCAAACCCAAGACACCCTCACAGAGTGCGAGGCAGTCAGATGTAGGGGGCAGTGAGGAGTTGGAGTAGGCAAGTTCCTGTCTAAATGCACTCAAAACCCCCAAAAATAATAATCATGCCGGGACACCGCGGGAGGCAGGATTCACCCAGGGAAGTTTGCAACTTCTGTTCTGTCCCTTGTTCTAAGTAAATAATGGCCTGCTCAACTCCTGAGTAAAGCGAGCCCTGTCACTCGTGGGGAGGGGAGTGCATTTTAAGCAAATACTCGAAGGACAGTTTAATTCTGAATTATTGAGGGAAATTCCCTGCCAGAGACATCCTCGCTGGAATATGCACGTACACATGTATATACATAGGCATCTATTTCATGATTATAACCTTCCTACCCTTTCTCATTCTCTCCTGGGGCTTCCCTGGCGACCAAGATAACAGGTTAGTTCTTCCATGGGTACTTCGTTATGGAAAGGTGACCTATTGTCCTGAGACACACTGCATGCACTCCAGGAAGTTGCTGTAACCTCTAAAGGCATTCTGAGGCCAGTCATCCAGCTCCATGGGGGTAGAAACCCTGATGCAGAGCCTTCCAGTGGAAGAGACTCTACCTATCAGTCTCATTCGGCTCCTGCCAGCTTCTACATCAAGGCAAGAAGAGTTGCTCGTCTCCTTTAGCATGTTAACCCTGCCGAGTCTCTCCAAAAAAGCATGGAGAGGTTTGCCCCTCTCATGAACTCTTCCATTATTCACTGCTCGGAAGCCATCAAAGTAGCTGCTAATGAACTTTAGCAAGGGTATAACCCTTTGTTTGGCCAAAGAAGGAGGGCAAGGTCTATGTGTTCTAAGGGGCTGGAAGGATGCAGAAAGTCTTCCTCCTGCCACGATTATTCCTCCCCATCACCCTCTCTCCCTGTTTCTAGTGAAGTGTCCCCTCACCGTGGTACCTCAGATGATCTCACCGTCTTCACTACTGCCGTTTGATAGTGCTTCATAAGCAGGTCAATGCCTTGTTAGAGAATCGTAGCCATCGTAACAGAGAGGTCACACCAGCAGAGCAGTGTTTTTGCTCAGAATTCTGGTTTCTATTGACAGAGAAAAGGGAAAAACACCACAGCATAGGCTGGAAGCATTAATACCATCTGTCTGCAGGATAGAGACGGATCACAAAAGAGGACATACAGATGGCCGGTGAGCAGAAGAAACGGTACTCGACTGCAATCACCACCAGGACACCACAAACTAAACCCGTCATGGGGAACCACGTAACGCCCATCACTTCGGTAGCTAAAATGGAAACCAGAGACAACAGTAAGTGTCGGCGAGGATGTGGAGTGACTGGAGCTCCCAGACCCGCTGATGGCAGGTGCCAAGTGGCACAGCCACACCCAACAACGCGTTGTTAGGTATACTTCCGACAGGGGTCCACAGGCTCACCACGAGGCACAGACAAGAATGCTCAGCGGTACTCCAGAATAGCCCAAACCGGAACGCTTAGACGCCCACCGACCTCTAAATGGAAACCTGGTGAAATATTCACGCGGACGAATACTGTATAATTTGCCTTATGCAAAATATTAAAATGGGCAAAAGTAAGCTAAGTTAGAAGTTAGGACAGTGGTTACCTCTGGGGGTGGGGGTGGGGTAGGGACCGGGCAGCGGACACAGGGGGATTATCTGGGACACTGGGAATGTCTTGTTTCATCTTGGTGGCGGGTACATGGGTGCGAACTGTGTGAAAGTTCATTAGGCTGTGCTCTATGATTTTTGCCTTTTTCTGCATGTTCGTTTTGCACGTTTCCGTACACACATTACACTTCAACACGGGGCTTCAAAAATTAACTCAGAGTGGCGTCCAGTTTCTCAGTTGTGGTTTTTTCCCCCTTTCATGTTTCTTTCTTGTTGTTTTTTTCTCATCAAGTTTGGGGGGTATGTGTTTGTGTTTCGTAGTCGTTTGGCAGGGTCACGGAGAGGTGGGGATCGGCTTGATTCTCACCCTACCCCATACCAAGTGGGCCCCGCCAGGGTCAACAAATCAGCTAATCAGAGTCAGATGCCTAGAGATGGCAGTGGTCTGAGAAGTTATTTTACATGATGCAGGAGAGGAAACTGAGACCTAGAAAAGTTATTTAACTGATTACATGCAGCTGGCTTCTGGAGTAGGGAAGACAGAATCCAAATGTCATGATTCCAACCCACATTGGCCTTCTACACAGGCGCATGTGGCCGTCAATTCTCTCACATCCATCACAACGATGGAAATTTTTCACTTGCCTCATTCCCGTTTGTTAAGCGATCATTTGCTCCCGGTGACTCTCCTCCCCAGGAGAAATCAACTGACATCTATTGATACGAGGCAACCGATCAGATTTCCTGTCATTCACAGAGGGGGGAATCCCAAGAGAGGTACGTGAGGTGGCTAAGTGTTGCCGGAACTAGAACCGCCAGGGAGCGATTATTCCCTGCCAGGAACCGCTTCGCATCGTCCATGTAAGAAGTCGCTTAATCCCCACAGCTCTGTGCTGTAAACCCTCTTGTTATTTCCACTCTAGAGCTGAAGACACGAAGGCATATGGAGGTTCATAACTTGCACCTCCACGGTGTTATGTGGAATGGGATAGTTTAAGCCACTACAGTGAGGTGCCTCCGCTCCCGAAGGCATTAGGATACAGGAGCAGACAGGAGACGGGGGAAATACGGGACAATGCCCAGAAAAGAGCAGAAGACCCATCACCATCAAGCCCAACAACACCACCACCACCAACAACAAAACGCCAAATCTATTTGTGGGTGTGCGTAGCCACGTCATTAGTGAGTCATGGCGGTCACTTACATGGATCAAGCTTAGCTGGGAACTGTCAAATCTTTGCCTCGCCCGATACTGCAAAATTATACCAAAGAACACCAAAACTCTAGTTGTGATGAAAGGTGATAGCTGCATTTCAGGCCACGCTATGAAAACGAAGTTGAAAAATAAAGTTTCGACTGGCGCAGAACGTGGGAGTTTTCATGCACCGGCACCTACACCTCCCGCCCCGCTCCTTGCTCGGTGTCCTGATAATACCGTGCACGTTACGAACGACATCGCCACTTAGGCTTTCCCACACTTCTTCCGGCCATGCCAGGGCATGGCCAATGACGTGTTCGAACACACACACACACACACACACACACACACACTCTTATGTCCGTGCAAGACGCTTCTCAGCGGCAGTGCGAACCCAGAACCGCATTTACTGCCTCGTAGATTTGACCGAATCCTGAGGCAAGTATCGTTTTACACCAACAGCCTTGGCCTGGAGCTCAGCTGTCGAGGATCGCACAGAGAGGAAATGACGCTGGTCCCCAATACTTTTTAAGTGCTCTGCCTCCCTGGATGCCACACTCAGTCCTGCCAGTCCTCAAACACACCACACCACAGTCTAAAAGGATGTCTTGTGCCAGCAGGACATGAACAGCTTAGTTCAAAGAAAACAAAGGGCCTCCCTTCTACAGTGAAGGTTGGGCTTAACGGGGCTGCTGAACACAATTTTGCATTGAAATACAGTTTTCCCGTCTCAAAGCAGTGTAGAAGCATGCAGCTTGTTAGATTTATATAATGCCTGGGTCTCTTAAGACTTTACAAAGCGAATGGCATCCATCAAATTAATTTCCTCAGGGATCGTCTCAAACACAGAGAATAAAGAGGCCCAGACCATTAAACATCAAAAGAATGTTCTAAATGGTAATTAAAGTTCTATTCTATTTTCTTTTTCTGGGAGCAGATTAGATTAATTGAGAATATTAGAAGTATCAAAGCTGACAGTGTGAATGTGTCGAGCTGGCTGGAAGAACACTTAATATTGCAGACATCTGTTCATTCGAGTTCCACAAAACACAAGAAAGGGGGAGTCGACCCAGCGTGCGGGTGCTTACCAAGCCGGCACACGTAGACACAGCGACGGAGGAGAAGCTGTCATTTCTGATAAATCCCTGATAGAAGCATCGCTGCACTGCGGGTTCCGGAGTCTCCAAAGCACCATCATTTCCAAGTACCTGGACAATAAAGTGACTGCTCAAAATCGCCGAGGGCTTCAGTTCTAAATGTAGTTCCTGTCCAAATGCTGAAAATCGGTAATGCGGAGAGCTGCCGGCACTCCCCGCCGATCGCTTTTTCCTGCCGTTGTGCAAAATGTCGTGTGAAATATACGACCCGCCTGAGTCCACTTCCACCGGCGTGACAAAGACGTAATCTGCAACGGGAAAGTTTTAGCTGTCAGCACCCAGTACCCACAGTGCCAAAGGCTCGCTTTCCAACAGGCTGGCGGGGAGCAAAGGACAGCTCAAAGGTATCTTTGTTTCCACTGCCCTGCACCTCACTTAACGGGAACTCAGAGCTGCTCCCGAAGAGGAGAACTCTGTGGCTTTTGCAAGGAGCTCTGTGACAGGGATGCCTACCAAACCGAGAAGTCAAGCACGATCTCCACGAATGCCAAGAATGTTTGCGAGAAAATGCCACAACTCTCTCTCATGGTCTGGAGACAGAGAGAGATGAACTGGAGTCTGGGAGCTGCAGAACCATCCATACATAAAAAGTGATCTTTTGGACACAAAATATATACAGAACCGCAGAAGTAAAGAAATGCATCAATTTTTTTTTTTTCCGAGGAGATTAATATCTTCGGGCTTAAACTGAACTGGGAGCATAGGGGGAGGCAGAGTTTAAATTTCAAATGATAACTCCCAGTGCTGAGTAACTTGAGATGCTATCTCAGATAACGAGGAGCGAATACTGGCAGTTTCAGATTTCCGAGAGCAACTACATGTGATAATAAAACCCCAGCGCTTGTATTGCTCTGAACGTTTTACTCTGAGCTTTTCCAGGGACAATCCCATTTCACTGTAAGCATAAAATACAGTGGATGCATTCAAAAATGTCTCAAAATTGTCAGAACTTTCCTATTGAGTCTGATGTTTAAAATTGCTCAGACATGTTGGTGAGGGAGGGAGTATCAGTCAGGGGAACACCTGGAAGGCACGTTTAAAAATACTTTCCCCATTGCTCTCTAGAGCAGCACTAATTGCTGCTTGCAAAAAAACAAAACAAAAAAAACAAAACAAAAAAAAACAAAAAAACCCAAAAACCAACCAACCATTTGCTGCTGGAAAACCGAAGCCAGCACACCGTTTTCTATCACAAAATGCTGAGACCAAGAACTACCATCACAAAAGGATTTGGAACAGACCTTCTGCGTGTTCGAAGACATTCTGCATTTCCACTTTCTAGGCACAGAATGGGAAACTAATTTGGAAAGTGTTTAGAACGATTCCGAATAACTAAGAGGCATGTTTGAGTCACTTGGGTCCCTGGTTACTGGAGGAGGAAGAGAGAGAGGAATTTCCCTTTTCCCAAGAGAGTCAACAACCAAATAAGAAAAGCTCAGGAATGACCAGAAGGCTGGTAGGTAAGGGGGATCCATGAGCGATATGCTAATTGAGCCTCCGTTTGGAAAAATAAAATCCCAACATGACAATAATTTTCAACTGTGTTCTTCTGCGTATGAACCACCTGTGACTCTGATTGCTTGAGCCACTACCCTTCTCTGTCTTCTTTACATCCTGCCTCTCCCATTTTCTCGACTCCTCTGACTAGAAATACTATCTCTGACATGCTTATTAAAAAATAACTGATGGGGCGCCTGGGTGGCGCAGTCGGTTAAGCGTCCGACTTCAGCCACGTCACGATCTCACGGTCCGTGAGTTCGAGCCCCGCGTCGGGCTCTGTGCTGACAGCTCAGAGCCTGGAGCCTGTTTCAGATTCTGTGTCTCCCTCTCTCTCTGCCCCTCCCCCGTTCATGCTCTGTCTCTCTCTGTCCCAAAAATAAATAAACGTTGAAAAAAAAAATTAAAAAAAAAAAAACTGGGAAATAAGTTTTCCTCCTCTCTTACCCTTAAAAAACTGAGTTTTTTTTTTTTTACACTACTTCTGTCTTAAAACTCTGTTACACTGCTTTACGGGAATGTGACTCTTGATTAAATGCAACTTTTTCTTATTAAAAAACCACCTCCTTCCTCCACCGTGCTAAAACCCAAGTGTGGAAACTGGGCCAGCGCATGCGCTAGTCTCTGCAGGAAGATGTTTCTGACCTCCTTCCCCAAACCCACCTGAAACTCTGCCTGCTCTTAGCTAGGAGGCCATGGGTAGCCTTATCCAGCCAGCCCTCTAGCCATCAGCCCACAAATCCCCCTGCCCCAGAGGGAGCCTCCAGCTTTCTGACCTCTAATCGAACAATGAGGGGTTGTTTTAGAAACTCCAGTCAGCCTCTCTGGTTGGACAAACGGTGAATTTCTCAGGAGTTAATTCCTGGCTCTGTCCCCTCCCCTCATCTCACCCACATTTTCCCCAGCCTTCACCGAGGACTCTGCCATTTCCCCTCTCCCCAGTAGGCCTGGCTCTCCCACAGCAGGAGAGGACCCTGCAAGGCTAAAACTCCTAGAATCCGGGTTGGTCATCAGGTTGTGCTAGACACGTGGATGAGCTGTTCTCCTGTAGCTGGTGGAAACAATGGCAACCATCAGGAAGTTAATAAATGACAGAAGGGAAGGGTGTTCTCTGGAGGTTTTTGGCCGGGAACCTCAGAAGAGATAAAGCCCCCAGAGACCTCCAGCTTACCTGCTCTCCTCCTTCTAAAAGCAGTCTTGGGACATCCGTGACCCAAGGGCAGGAAAAACGAGAGAAGGAAAGGAAGAGAAGGAACACAAGTGGAGAGGAAAACGAGGAGGAGAGACGGGGAAGGGGAGGTCTGGCATTTTTTCACTCCCCCCCCCCC